TTTATCTTGTTGTTTAAAATGTTTTTGTAAAAACTGTTTATGTAATAGTTACAATTTATTTTTGTTATGCATTGACGCATAACAAAAATAAATTGTATATATAAATATTAATGCATTAAAACTAAGCATTTATAAATCATGTGTTTATTGTTTTTATTTTTTAAATAAATTAATGTTCAATAGCTTGTTAAGCACAAATTTTGTATTTACTATATACCTCAAACATGCTTATACTTTTTTAGAAAATTATGTATAAAAAAGTCATTGCAATAAATCTCAAGTTATTAAAGTCAGTTAACAAATAAGTACTGACAATTCATTGACTGGAGTGGAAGATGTTAGTGTCTTGAACCAACATGAAACAACAAGTTAACTTAGCTGAGAATGATGGTAGTTTAAAAATAATGCAGCATTGGCTAGGTAAGTGATTATGTGTATGTTGGCTCACTCATAAGTCAATATATATGTGTTTATGTTCTATGTTGACCTCTAGTGTCGTGTTGGCTCACCCTTTAGACATTATATGTGTGTTTGTGTTCTGTTTCAACCTCTAGTGCGGTGTTGATTCACTTGTAAGTCATTATGTGTATAATTTTATTTTGTTTTATTGTGTTATTATAGTGATGTTATTGTTGTGAGGCTTTGTGTTGATAGACAACTTTGCTTACTTTCTCGTTGGTGTCTCTTGCTACAAATGATTATTAGATTATTAGAAATGATTATTTTTACTTGAACTCGTTACTTCTAATCATTTACTAATAGGCAAGAAACATGTTTTAAAGTAAAACATACTTTTAATGTTGTCATTTTTAATCTTTAGGATTGTTCCTAGGTCACAAAAACAATCTTACAAAGTAAGTTTCTTCTTTATTATTTATTTAGTTATATTTTTAATTAAATTTTTATTTTTCATGTTAACATGATACATAAAACATTAATTTGTAAATGCTTTCAGCATAAATTGGTTCTATTTTCTTTAGTAGAGTTTCTGCTGTTGTCACTGGTTTTAGAGAGTACCTTTGTGAATGAAGATAAAAAGTCATTTATGTTATTTTTTAAAAGCCAAGACATAATATTGTTAATCCTCATACCATTTACCAAAAAGCTTTATAAATATTGTTACGATGTTATAATTCAAATTGTTGTAATTAGTAATTTTGATCATTTCATTATTACACTGTAAAAAATATTTTTTATTTATAACATTTATTTCACATATATTAAAAACATGAGGAATAAATATTACACTGAGGAAAATTTTAAGCAAAATATAGAATTTTTAAATGTTATTAGAATATCAATATGTATTATTTTTGTTTTATTTATTGACTACATCTGTAAACTGTGCAATAATTTCAAAATGATGAATTAATTAAATTCCATGTTTCCTATAAGCATTTGCACAGATTTATTTCAATATAACGCTAAATATTGTTCTGGTAACGTTCAGCAGCTTCTTTAGATAACTTTTCTTGATAATCAAAAGACATTTTCAAGGCGTTTTAAGCTTCGACCATATAAACTGATAGACCCGCCGTAAGTTATATATTTTAAAGCCAACATCTTTTAGCGCGTGACGTCACGTTTGGGCAAAACAAAACGCGATTCAAGCGAAATAAAGCTTTAAGAATAGAAAACTGTTTATTAAATGTAAAATTTTGTAGAAAAAACCATATTACTATTATTATTATTTTTTTAAATATGATTAAATTTATCATTTGTATCAATTATTATTTTTAGATTTCTTAGATAAGAAAACGTAACAGTTAATACAATTTTATGTATTTTATTATCCATTACATAATATACAAAACAACTTTTTATTGATTCGAAAATTAAATTTGCTTTGTTAATACACTTTGTATACGTTTATTATGTAGTAAATTGTTGATCAAGTCAGTTTTGTGGTGCAATCTTATCTTTAAATACTAAGCAATATTAGTTTTATAATTTCTTCACCACTTTCATAAATAAATTACAGACAACGCTTAACAATATTAGATTTTTCACAACCATCTAAACTATTAATTAAAAATTATACATCAGGAAGTTTCCAACGTCCATTTACACAGTTTACCATAAAAACTAAAGTTTCTTTTGTTTTGGGTTAACTATTATTATTGATATCAGCACAAAAATCAATATAACTAGAAAATTTATGGCCTGTTTATTCAATTTTTTTTTCAAATGGTCATTTCATCTTACATAAATGAACACACAATATGTTGACCAATTTTCTGAGCCTCTTTTATTTTGCTATGAAGAGTAACTAAAGCTTCTTTACAAAATCCAGGGAAACAGTCAACACTTTTATGCCATTTTGTATAATTCCAGGATGAAGAAGTGCATTACTAAATGTTTTCCTAACATAACTATATGCTTTAGCAGAATAAAAATTTAATGTTAAATCAAGGTTGTTAACAAGGCCAAAATTAGCAAGGACATGGCCAAAGCCACATGTTACAAGGCTAAAATCAAGACCAATGCCAAAAGTTACAAGGTCAAAGCCTGGAATTTTAAAGTCAAGGCCAAGAATAAAAATATTTTCAAGCCCAAAGACTTGAATTTTTGTCTAACGTTAAGGTCAATTATTAACAAAACTGTAGGTAACAATTCCTGTTACAATAAACCACATGTAAAAATAAACCAGGGTTATACCCAAAATTCTATGAAGTCAATAAAAAACATACTTGTGGATATGTATGAAGCCGAAAACAAAAATACATAAAAATAAAGAATAAAATCTTTTAATTCTTCAATTTTATGTACTTTTATTGAAGACCAAGGCCAAGACCAAGACCAACAGTTTTAAGACCAAGGCCTTAAGTCAAGGTCAAAGCCTAGGACTAACAACTTTGTGTTGTAGCAAAGCTTCATAATTCTGGTGGGTAATGCTTTTTAACTTTTCTTGTAAAATCCGACAATATAACTGTTTTGTAGACTCAGACATAGCTCCCTAAAATTAAATAAATTAAATAAATACATTTTTAGTTACAACATCATATTTATACTTGAAAACCCAATCAAGTAAATTAGGGCATCGTTGATTGGGGTATCAAGAAATAGATGAAAATATCACAATAGCATTACAATTATAACAACAATTATTACTGTTACGACAAACACAATAATTAACTTATTGCTATTCTTACCGTAATTGTGATGAATTAAAATTTTCCTTAACTGTTATCTGATGATTAATGTAATAAGTTTTTAATCATAAAAACTTATTAATTTAAAACCATATTTTAACAGTAGGTTGACTAAAACAAAATATTTCTAAAGGTATAACTTAATAAGAAATAAGAAACAAATATTTAAAATAATGAAATAGACAAATAAAATAAAATATGTTCAACAACTACTCTTAATAAAAATATATATTATACCATTAGTGTAATTGATACTTCTTCGGAAATCATAGTTTGATTCATGATTTTGATTCATCATATGATTTATACTTTTTGATTTAAAATGATGAAGGTATGAATGTAAGTCTTTAATCCTTTTTATTAAACAACAGTTGGATTGCTGAAGCATTTTAATTGTATTTAAATATATTGTTTACCATTGGTGTTAGGATTGATTTGACACTTTTCAACAATGTTTTTAAAACCATAAAGATATTATTGTCACAAAAAGTAAACTCAAACATTTACATCAATATATGATATTGTAAAAGTAATTGTAAATCATTGTAATGTATTTAAATTAGATTTACTGTATTAAATTACTGGTGATATTATTGTTAACATAAATGATATAGTTATCAACATTGTTCCTAAAAAAAAAAAAAAATATATATATATATATATATATATATATATTTACAAACAATAATGTTGATAATCATACCATTAATGTTAACATTAGATTTACTGTATAACATTAATGTTATACAGTAAGTCTAATGCGTATATATATATATATATATATATATATATATATATATATATATATATATATATATATATATATATATATATATATATATATATATAGGCACACAATATATATGTTACAAAAACTAAACTTAAAAGTTTTAAATCAATATATGTCATTGCAAAAAGAATAGTTACATTAGACTTACTGTATTTGAATCATTGGTGGTAATATTTGAAATAATTCTTTGTCTATATTTTTTGGTAGTTTTCTAGAATAAATACTTTTTCATAAAAGTGTTGGGAAATTAAATATAGAAGAAATTGCATTTTTTTTTAGTTTCTTTTGTGAACTTGAAAGACTTCCTTTATACCAGTGAAATATTTACCACAACGTTTAGACAGTTTACTAGGAGTAAAACCATCACTCCACATAACTTGTATCCATTTTCTCCTCAATTCTATATCTTTCAGAAAACTACCAACAAAAATAAGCATATTAAAATAATATGCTATTTATACTTAAAATATAATGTAGGATTTTAGCAAATAATGATTTGTAGCTACTTACACATGAAAAGAAACCCTTTTAATATATCTTTAAGTGCAATTATATGCAAAACAAGATAACATCATGATCTTTATATATCTATATTCTATTTGAAAATCAAAATTTAAACAAAATAATTTACATAACAAATAATAAAACTTTAAAAATGTTAAATACATTCACCCTAAACCGATATTATAAATTGTTCAATGCCCAAACGTGACGTCACGCGCTGAAAGATGTTGGCTTCAAAGTTGTGTGAATATTTACTCGCGGTAAGGCGTGTCTATCAGTTTATATGGTCGAAGGTTTTAAGTAATGATGTACTGAAATCAGCGCGTTTGTTTGCCCCCATATCATAATGGTAGATATTTTTGTTTTTAATTATGCAATAATCACGTGGTTTTTTCGCCGCAAGAATAATAATGAAATGATCAAAATTACTAATTACAACAATTTGAATTATAACATCGTAACAATATTTATAAAGTTTTTTAGTAAATGGTATGAGGATTAACAATATTATGTCTTGGCTTTTAAAAAATAACATAAATGACTTTTTATCTTTATTCACGAAGGTACTCTCTAAAACCAGTGACAGCGGCAGAAACTCTACTAAAGAAAATGGAACCAATTTGTGCTGGAAGCATTTACAAATTAATGTCTTATGTATCATGTTAACATGAAAAAAAAAAATTTAAAAATTTTTACTTTTCATGTTAACATGATACATAAGACATTAATTAAATAAAAATTTTTAAAAATATAACTAAATAATAAAGAAGAAACTTACTTTGTAAGATTGTTTTGTGACCTAAGAACAATCCTGAAGATTAAAAATGACAACATTAAAAGTATGTTTTACTTTAAAACATGTTTCTTGCCTATTAGTAAATGATTAGAAGTGACGAGTTTAAGTAAAAAAACTATCTAATAATCATTTGCAAAGTTGTCTATCAACACAAAACATCACAACAATAACATCACAATAATAACACAATAAAACAAAATAAAATTATACACATGACTTAAGAGTGAATCAACACCGCACTAGAGGTTGAAACAAAACACAAACACACATAATGTCTAAAGGGTGAGCCAACATGACACCAGAGGTCGACACAGAACATAAACACATATATATTGACTTATGAGTGAGCCAACATACACATAAACACTTACCTAGCTAATGCTGCATTATTTATCAGTACTTATTTGTTCACTGACTTTAATAACTTGAGATTTATTGCAATGACTTTTTTGTACATAATATTCTAAAAAAATATTAGCATGTTTGAGGTATATAGTAAATACAAAATTTGTGCTCAACAAGCTATTGAACATTAATTTATTTAAAAATAAAAACAATAATACATGATTTATAAATGCTTAGTTTTAATGGATTAATATTTATATATACAATTTATTTTTGTTATGCATCAATGTATAACAAAAATAAATTGTAACTATTATATAAACAGTTTTTACAAAAACATTTTAAACAACAAGATAAACTATATTATATAGTTTATCGTGTTGTTTATACAGTACATACCAATATTATATAGTATATACTAAGTGAATTGTTTAATCTATTTATTCTCCTTTCATTTCACATAACAATTGGTTATGTTGGAGGGATGATTTCACTATATATTTTTTTTAACACCTAACATATTTACTGATGGAATATAGTCAACATGCTTTTCAAAATTTTGAAAAGCATCTAGACTATGTTCTTTTTTTTCCTAAAAGAGAAACATACTTACAATGAATAAAAATATATAGACGAAAAAAACTTAATAAGTTCAAGAAAAATTTGTGCTCAAATATTTTGACGATTTAAATACAAAACTTACCAAATACAAAATGTTTTGAGCAAACTTAGACATGTTTTGCGACCAAAGTTTGTTTGCAAGATGAATCAATTCTATATAAAGCATAAAACCACGATTTTCTTCTCTTTGGATCAGGAAGCAAAATATAAAAAATCAAGTTCGGATGACTATTAACATTAATTGAACAATCAAAAACACATTTCTCTATTTTCAAGCGCTTTGTTTGCCCCCATACCATAATGGTAGCCGTTTAGTTAGTTAAAGTGACGTCACGTTCGCCGCAAGGATATATATATATATATATATATGTATATATATAAATATATATATATATATACTCTTGCATGTCTCTTGCGTTGCATCAAAAAAAGTTTCCCATAAACTGTAGTTTTAAAGAGCGCGTTAATAAACCAGACTAGAAAAAGTTTTAAAAATTAAATTTTTTTTTTTTAATTGATAGACTGCCTGGCCAAACCAAACCCTCAGTCGATGTAGCAGCACTCTCTTGAGAGTCAGGCTATTTGTCAGTCGTTGTAGCAGCACTCCCTTGCGAGTCAGGCTATTTGTCAGTCGATGTAGCAGCATTCCCTTGCGAGTCAGGCTATTTGTCAGTCGATGTAGCAGCACTCCGTTGCGAGTCAGGCTATTTGTCAGTCGATGTAGCAGCACTCCGTTGCGAGTCAGGCTATTTTTCAGTCGATGTAGCAGCACTCCGTTGCGAGTCAGGCTATAAGATAGTCGATGTAGCAACATTTACGCATGTTTTAAAAATGTTTTTTATTAAATCAATAACAAAAACACCACTAATTAAAAAAAACTTTCTAGTCGTTATAATTGCGGTTTTTTAAAAATTTTTTAAAAAACAATTAAATTTAATGTACTTCCGCATAAGTTAATTGCTTTGACATTTCGATGACAATCAAAAACAGCTTAAGAGACGAGGTAATTAAAATTGTAGTCGTAAGAGACTTTTTTTACATTAAAATGCTCTTAAAGCTACACTATATGGGTATATATATACTTACATATATATATATGTATATATATATATATATATATATATATATATATATATATATATATATATATATATATCAAGGCTGTTTTATATACTTACATATATATATATACTTTCATATATATATATAAACTTTCATATATATATATATACTTATATATATATATATATATATATATATATATATATATATATATATATATATATATATATATATATATATATATCAAGGCTGTTTTAAAGTGAGCTTTATGGCTTCTTGTTTTTTTCTCCAAATAATAACTTAAGTAGTGTTACTAAACCTTTTTTAACAATTGAAATATTAGAGATCATTTTGTGCTGTAAAAAGAATATAAACACCAATACAATGTTTTACCTTATAACATTAAATGACTTAACAAAAACTTGATTCGATTTTAGATTAAACCCGGCAAATGAAGAACTTAGCTAAATTTTGAGAACTGTTTGTCAATTTTTATCAAAAAAAAAAATTGAAAAATATATTTCAAATATTTATTTTTAAATAATATACATTTAACAACTACTATTAATCAAAATAATTTAGCTTAAACCTAATTGTTAACTGAAACAGACATTGTTAAAGTCAGTAAAGCATTATTTTACTTATTTGAGTAAAGCATTTGAGGTCACGTGATTGTTTTAAAAATTTACGTATAAAAATAGATAAATTTTTTTTAAACCAGCCAAGTTTGAAAACATATTTGATAACATAACTGAAAGTACATAAAATAATTTTTTCATTTTCATTTGCATAAAAGGTTGATAATTTCAATAACTTACGTCATCCATCAAAAAAGTTACGTTTTGCATTTTAAAAAGATAACTTTAAAAAGATAAAAAATAAAAATGCTTCAAAAACAGTCTTTTTATAGAAAAATTATCAAAATGACGTGGGAATCTGATAGAATAGACATTCAGGGCTAATGCACTGAATGTCTATTCTATCAGATTCCCATATGTTCCAAATTTCAACTATCAAGCACAGAGCTATGTTGTTAAATCTTGATTGGCCAAACTCAGGTTTTCTGCAAAATATGCGAAAACCAGAAAAGTGATTCTTAATCATTAAAAATGTTTTATCAATATTTATTTTTATTCCACCTAATGTTTATATTTATTTAACAAGTAAAGATTGATCTTTTATATACTTTTAAAAATTGAAGATGAAAGTATTCATAGAAAAAAGTTACTACTATTTTAAAATTTGTGAACTTTTATACTTTTTATGCGGAAATACTTTATTTTTGATAAACTCATGACGTCACGCTTGTTTTTATATTGAGTGAAACTGCCGCGATATGTATGTATGTATATATATATATATATATATATATATATATATATATATATATATATATATATATATATATATATATATATATATATATATATATACACACACACACAGATACCGTATAATGTGGTGCTTTATTCACTTCGAGTTAAGGCAATTAGTGAACCACTTTTGTGCTAACAAAAACGGAGCATGGCTGTATAAGCGAAATATAGACACTGAAATCCATGATCAAGGCCTAGATCTTAAAAAGACATTAAAAATACCTTCTCAAGGCGGTCTTGAGACAAAGCAGCGCATTAAAGCACAATTTGTTGCTTTCAAAATATATTGAAACTGATTGCAAATGTAATAAAAAAAGGCAAATTTATTTTTCCGCGACTCAATTAAAAAAATATACATAAAAAATTAATTAAATTTTTACTTAAAATTATTCAAAAATTGTTCAATACATGTGATTTGATGCTAACCATCTCAATGTATCATTTTTCGAATTAATAATAGCATCATTGATTCCCACTCCTCCCCATGAGGTTCCAGTAATTAACAGAGGCAGATCACTTGCCTTTAGGAAATTTTTTATTTGCTCAACTCTTTCATCGTGGCCTATATAATACTGTGGTATACAATTTTTTTGTATTTTGCATAACACGCGACGAGGCATGGAGCGAAATCCTAAAATATCACGAACATTTTTAACAGAACTCTCAATAATCATGTTTTCATCACAACTATTTGGATTTCCAAAAATCTCTTCAAACCATGCTCCTCCTGACATCACAGTTAAAATCGCAGAGTTGTGTTGCGTTGGATGGGGAAGAACAACAGAATCAAATGTCATACCCAATATGTTAAGAGGCTGATTAGACGGAACCAAAAATCCAAATCCATTAAACGGAACCTTTTCGTTAACGTATTCTAGATTTACAACAGCCATAGTCGCAAAATTAATTGATCCCAACAACGCAGATAAAGTACTATTCGCCTCTGTTAAAAGAGATTTTAAAGAGCACACAGGAAGCGAGGATATCACTGCATCGGCTTCCAAAACGCAGGAATTAGTCGTACAAAAAACCTTTTCATTTGAAAATGAAAGTTTTTCACATTTTGTGTCTAATAGTATTTGAACTCCATTTAATCTTAGAGAATCTGCCCAGTATTTTGGCAAAGCTTGCATTCCATTTTGAACAGTCCAACTAGTCCATTTCTCACGTTTGGCTTTTAAAGCTAAATCTGATAAGCTCTCAGCATTTCCTTAAAAAATTAAAATTTAATTCAGTAAACATGCTGTCCTGCTACATATACATTAAGTACTTTTACATGAAAACTGTGTTAAATATAAACGTAGCTCTATAAATGAAACATTATGTGCTGTTAAATATAATAATATTATTTGAATCAAACTATTTATGTTAATTTTAATTAAATGTTAGCATGCCATTTAAATATAAAACTAGTAACAAATGCAATTAACTATTACTAAATAAATTATTAAAATAATACTTTATAAAATAACTGTAATAGTTTTAAAATTAGACCTACCAGATTTAGAAAAAAACATCCCTCGCGTAACCGAACCATATTTTTTTTCAAATTCAAACACCTGTCGAAAACAGGATTTCATACTCAGTACATTCGCATCACCACCAAATATACCACGACAAAGAGAAGTAGCAAGATAATCTGCTATCTAAAATAAATAATTAACAACAGAGTACACAATTCACAGACGCATGGAGGGTATTTACTACATACAGATAAACTCAGGGTACTATATAGCATTCAGCGCACTACATTCAAGATATTACATATATATATATATATATATATATATATATATATATATATATATATATATATACACCCACACACATACATACAAGGTGCTAGGTAATCAGACAAATACGGGGTACTAAATATGCAGATCAAAGTTATTAAAATTAAATGAAAAAACCGGTGGTGAAACAAAACTATTTTATTTATAATGAAATGTTAAAAAAAAAAACATACTTCTTTATTGAAGCGCCTACAGAAAAAACTATAAATGCTCTCATCTTCATCAGTGACATTTTTTTCTACAAAAAGTTCTTTTGCTATTATTGATATAATCGAGCGGCTAAATGGGTCTTGACGAAATAACATAGAAGAAATCGACGAAGGAAGTTCGTTCATCTTACCATTGGCGTATATGTAACGAGTAGAAGTGATCTTGTTTCTTGGAATTCCAATTATTTTGCTACCTATACCAATATCAGACATCTATTCTAAACAAAAATACTCGAGCAACAAACATTAAATAAGAACACTAAACACAAAAATTTATATTAACTACCTACAAAAACTAGAAATAGCAATACACAATTATTAATAATACTATGAGCAAAGAAATGATTAAGATTTCCTACTATGTTTAAGGCTTGCAAAGCAGTATCACCAATAGATCGAGCAGAACGTGGACCATGTTCAAAAACACTACCGTCTTCGTATACTTTACTCTGCAACCAACCACCAACATGTGGTTCGCATTCCACTAATGTCACTTTACATGGTACTTGAGAATACTTGATAACTGTTTCAGCCGCTGAAAGTCCTGAAATTCCACTGCCAAGTATGATGATACGAAAAGGATTTGGTATGCGATGCACCATCTATGTTAATTTTCATCAAGACTACAATATTCTCAAAAATTAATAACTATATAAAATCTAGTATGGTTAAAAATAAAGATTTGTTAATTTAAAACGTTTTTAAAAATAGCAATTAAAAGGATCTAGGACTAGTCAGGATAACTTTAAATATGCACTTATTGATCAATTTTACTTTAATGTAAAACAAAATACCCCCCCTTTACTTTTTAAAAACAACCTTGACTAGTCTTAAACCATACGTGAAATTTTAATAATGATAATAAACGATCACTATATAAGTCAAAAGATTTCTATTGTTTCTTGTCATTTAAATGAAAACATTAAATTTTTTTAGGTTCTATTTACAAGGGTAAAAAAGAATGATATTAAAATGCTCGGGCTTCAGTTTTAGACACCCCTTTAGTCTTAGGCATCTTTTTAGCAGAAGAGTCTTCTAATTCTTTAGCTTTGTAGTAGTGCGGGGCAACTTCAAGCAGCCACGAACTTTCAATTTCAATGATTGACCGCATAAATTCTTTACTTGTAAAAACTAGCTCATGATAAAGTACCCAACGAGGCTGTTCTTCAAATAGGCAACTATTGGGATGAATCATTACTGTTTGCATATGTTTTACAGTTCTATAGTTTCCTCCTTGTCCAAACTTGGCAGTGTGGTAAAAATAACCAGAGGTAATTGCTTTTCTAATACCAACAGAGTCATGCGCTGCTGATGTTAGCTCAATTTCTATTCGATCAACAAGTCCTTCAAGTTGCTCCCGTACATCACGTGCACGTCTCATTGAACGAAACTGAATAAAATTTTCATAACACCATTGAGTACTGTGACCTGATTCAGCCCATTGATCATACACATTCATCAATGTTAAATGATCCCCTCCAGGACGAAAAAAATTTTTACGGGCATTATCTGCATGTACAATTTTATCTTTTGGTCTGTAAAATATGCTAGCGTTGACTGAGAGCATAGCAGATATTGTCAATATTTGTTCAACACACTTGTATTTTTCTGCAGCAATAATCATTTTAGCCATCATTGGATCTACAGGCAACTCAGCCATTTTACGACCTAATTTTGTTAGCTCTCCCATATGGTTTAAAGCACCCAAAGCATACAACTGCTCTAATGCAAGAATTAGTGTTTCTGCTGGAGGAGGATCCATAAAATCAAAATGAATCAAATCATTTATTCCTAAGCTTTTAAGTAACAGGACAACATTTCCTAAATTTGTTCTTTGAATTTCTGGTATGGTGTTTTCCTCGAGTTCATTTTTATATGCCCAAGCTGTATACAAACGAAAACACTTACCAGCAGCTACTCGCCCAGCTCTACCAGCTCTTTGGTTAGCAGAAGCCTTTGAGACAGGAGTCACAACAAGGGATTCCATACCAGTGCGCGGGTTATAACTTTTTTGCTTACAAAATCCAGGATCAATTACATAAATAATTCCATTGATTGTAAGTGATGTTTCAGCAATGTTTGTGGCAATAACAATTTTTCTTGCACCAGGTGGAGTTGGTTCAAATATCTTTGCTTGCATATCTGATGGCAAATTAGCATAGATAGGCAAAATAATTAATTCCTTAATCTTGTTTCCTAACTTACGAGTTCTTTCTTGCAGCATTTCATTGCATGTTTCAATTTCTTCTTGACCACTCAAAAAAACTAATACATCACCATCAGGCTGAGTCAAATGTATTTGTAACACAGTAACAACACAAGCATCGATATAATCAGCTTCAGGAGCTTTGGTATAAAATATATCAACAGGAAATCGACGCCCAGGAATACGAAATATGGGAGCATCATCAAAAAACATTGAAAACTTCTCAGCATCAAGAGTAGCACTAGATATAAGTAGCTTTATATCTTTCCGAAATCTGGCAATATCTTTAATAAGTCCAAATAATATATCTGTGTGCAATGTCCTCTCATGAGCTTCATCAATTATCATCACACTAAAAAAATAATTGATATTAAAAATTTCAATATATATATATATATATATATATATATATATATATATATATATATATATATATATATGGAATGATTGCATTCTTGATATTTTAAATCTAATTACAAATGCAATTATAAATTATATTTGTGATTCATTCCTTTTGATTTTTTGTTATATATATATATATATATATATATATATATATATATATATATATATATATATATATATATATATATATATATATATATATATATATATATATATATATATATATATATATATATATATATATATATATTGTATACATACATATATACTTGGCTTATACATATACTAGCAACTCACAAAGCCACACACAAAGCACATGGGTAAACAACATAGCTTCATTGGTTCATTTGTAACGAATGATGCTCAGACCACAAACAGCAAGGAAGAGAGGTGCATATGGATTAGAACAAAATATTATAGCATCTCAGCATGAATAACAGACTTCAAGTGGACAAGCATCTTTAATTGCTTTTCAGCTAACGACAACTATAAAAGAACTAGTAAACAAAATTAACTAAGAAACTGAAACTCACATAATTGCAACTAAATTAACTTTCAAGCAAAAAAAAGAACAGTGTAACACCCTACAAGTCAAAGAAGTAAATGTTGCAAATACTTAGCAGCCAGTATATGGATGTGTGAGATGATGGGTAATAAGCGGAAAGAACTCAGCAAGTTTGTGAGCAACAACTGTTAGCAAAGATAAGAGATTGCAGTATGCTTTAACTACAGCCCAAAATAATTCACAAATAAATTAGGCATAAGCAAAAGGAAAATGAAATCAAAAACGATGCTAGAAAAACAGCTACAATTATTCATGAAATTTTTCACTTATTTAACAACTATTTTTAGCTTTTATTTGTCCTTGAACCTTTTGATGAAACATTGAATTTTAAAGACTGAACACAAGCAAAGTACAAATTAAATGAAGCTACCATCACTCAAGCAGTACAGCAAAAGCTTGAAAAGTTCATTAAAATACCGTGGCTATCATTGTCTTCGTCAATGATAGCCACGCACAAAAGACTTCTTCACATACTATAAGCCTATGACATACGTGGCCTACTGCTTAGGTGGATAGCAAACTGGCTGGCTAACCGAAAGCAAAGAGTGGTCGTCAGCAAAGCTGAATCCAAGTGGAAAGAGGTGACAAATTGAGTAACTCAGGGAACAAGAACTACTGTTTTTTTTTTTTTAATTTTACTTCACCTCCTCAAGGCCGAGAAGGCCACTACAGACGAGGAGGTTACTTATTTTGTGGCTATAACCCTCTCTCAACTCTATAACTCCGAAACACGAACCTTGACGAACAAGGCCGCTGCGCGGAGAAACGAGTTTTATCATATATGACCTACTGGACAATATATACGACCTACTGGACAACATAACTTATGATATCAAGATGTATGCCAACAAAAGTAAAATACATAGCATCATCAAAACAGAGGAGGACAAAACACTTATCCAGCTAGACACCAAGAATGCAGTAGAATAGTCCAAAAAGCTAATGTTCTAATGTTCTTCAACTTGAACAAGTGCAAATGCATGCACATAGGCGATTCCAAAAAACCAGCTCATATTTACACAATGATTGATTAGATGGAAATAAGAAAAGAACTGGGTACAATTTTAGTCAAACCTGATCTAGACCTGACTTCAGAAGACTCAAAAGTCAAGCATCATTTGAAGCAGTGGCTTCAATAGAATATCAGGCAATTAGTTGGCTGAAGAAATCTTACCTAAGCAGAGGTCTTATGCTTCGGAAAGTGCTTTATAAAATGTACCTAAGAACACATCATTTTTTTATATTTAAATTAGTCTAAAGATATTTTTTACCCGATAAGATAAAAGAAGCAATTAATGTTATAAAAACCTGTTAAATGTTTGAATTACCATTATGCTTAAGTTTTTCACAAAAGTTTGAATGACAACTACATTTAACAAAAGAAAAAAAAAAAAAAAAAATTAACCTTTTTGTTGAAATGTTTAGTAACACAAATCAAATTTATTAATCATTAACATCAAATTATTTTACTTTACTATGTTATTATAAAAAATGCAAAAAAAAAAAAAAAAAAACAATAAAAGAAATACTTATAATAAAAAACTTTTTATCATTTTGCAAACACAAGAATGTTTATTTTGTAACTTTTATAGCAATAAAAAAAAAAAAATCTTAAATTTTTATTCAACAATTAAAAATAAAATGACAAAAAAAAAAAAAGAAGTTTTTTAGCTAAAAATAGTTCACATTTAATTCTATTTTATATCATCGCCACTTGTGGTATTTTGATTTTTTGTTAATTTGTTTTGTTATAATTATTGACTTTATCTCTTTAAAAAACGCAGCAATCATTACAAGTATGTACCCTTGAAGTGAATCGATATAAAATATATAATAAAAATACAAGTTTTGCAATGTCTTAATTTACAAAATTTATTTGTGAAAAATAGTTACTTCTTAACAACAGCATTAACGGATTGTGTGGTATCCAAAAAGTAAAAGAGCAGCGATTTACATTTTTTTATAAATAATACTTGGAAACTTAAAATAATCTTTGCTTACCACAACAAAATCTCTTGTAAAGTTTTTTATTTGTTACACACTAACTTTTTTTAAAAAAAAAAAATCATTTTTAGTTGCAAAGCTACAATAACAAATTTAAAATCAATAATAAAAAAAAAAGAATTCAACATATTTTAATTTATTTATAAAAATCTCAAGAAAAGAAAAGAAATTAGTTTATATTAAATTTTGAAAATATATTTTAATTTATTTATTTAACAAAATAGAAACAAAATATATTTTCACAACAACATTTCTGCATTGATTTTGTAAATTTAGTTCTTTTTTCAATTGAACTTGTTTAAGGTAATTTATTATATTGTGGTAGTTAACAACAGTTGATGTGCTTAAACACACAAATATATATATATATATATATATATATATATATATATATATATATATATATATATATATATATATATATATATATATATAATAAAGAGGATTTTATGACAAACTTACTTGATGCTAATGCATTTAGCTTTTTTTTATTTAAAACAAAGCCTGATTAAAAACTGTACAAGATTATCAAGAATTCACTAAATAAATTGTCATAAAAATAATAAAGTAATTTAGTTTTGCTTTCTTTTTTTTAACTTCATATCATTTAAATATCAATGGAGCAAAACAATAAGAGAACGGCCGCCCTGACAACTGGAAAATTTATTCCCAGACCCCAATGAATTAGGGAGTTCTTTAAATATATGCTATATATCAAAGTCTTTAAAATCATATCTACAATGTGATTGTATAGATGACATTTAGATTTTAGAGTTTTACAACCTAGTTTTGCCCCAGGGCCCCAAACCAACTTGAAGCGGCCCTGTATGAAAGTTTTTATGAAAATCAAAAGCACTGAGAAAACAAAAGAAAAAAAATTAATGAAATACATAACCGATAGTTTAATTATATTAACCGATAGTTCTTTATATTTATTGTATTTTAACAATTTTTTTAAAAAAAATATCACAATTGCTCATTATTCATGTCTTATTAAACTGGAAAATATTCTTCAAATGTGTCTCTGATAACTACCGAGGCTTACTTCATCTCTTTAGAATAAATAGTTGTAGGTCAGCATAATCATTTCATGGATTTATATTCAGATAAATTTATAGTAAAGCTTCATTTACTTATTATAGTAAAGTTTATTATATTTGTCACAAGTTTCACAAGTTAAAACTAAATGTCCTTATTTTTTTATATTTATTTTATGTTTTTAATATTTACATTATTAATATATTTTTAGATTAACAGAGCCCCATTTGATGGTATAACTAAAAAAATTCTTATTGATTTCTTTCAACCTCAAATAAAACAATTTTTTGGCAGAAAGTTTCCAACCGAAAGTAAGGTGATACCCAGAGAAGTCTTGTCTATTAGCTTTTTGTTGTTCTTATGAACCAAATCATAGTGATATCAAAAATATAATTGAAAAAAATGTTCTTTGCAAAGTTAAAGTCTATTTGATCTTCTTAATTTTTTTCTTAAAGTCATAAAAGAGAAACGTATTTGACACTATAGTATTTATAAAATTTAAATATTTTTAATGAAAATGAAAATATTTATTATTTTAGGAGTTAAAAAAAATCTTCAACCTCTTTCTGTACCGATTATTTTCATACTTTTCTTCAAATATTCTGCTGCTGCTAATATAAAATGTTTGTTATTGAAATCGATTCCATTGAAAATGATTCCATTTTATTTATTTAAACTTTTTAATTTTAGCTTTATAACTTTTAATTTTAGGATTTCTTGTTCAAAAAGTTGTCTAGTAACTATCAAAAAGATAATTAAGTAAATATCACAGTTTAAAAATAAAGCAATTTTCTAACTTTTTCATTGTAAATAATTCCATCAATAATAGTTGCAAAGCAGTGAATCCAATTTTTTTCAAAACGATTGTATATAAAGAACAGCAAGATGTTGTTGTAGGATTTTTTATTCATTAATTTTTGGGTAAAAAATAATTCATAAGATATACAAGATATATAAATCTAATATATAATAAACTTTCACTAAAAAAATTTAGAAATATTTTAGTTATAAGTGTTAGTTCATTATTTAATTTTTGTAAAAAAATTTTTTTTACCTAGAATGAATTTAAGAAAAAATCATTGCTTGTTACACTATCCATTTTAATTAGACAACTTTTTAATAATGAGATATAGTGCATTTCTAGAAATTTTTTTTGCTGCTATCTTTTCACAGTCATGCAAAGTAAATTGGAATTTTTAAATCTGTATGTTAATTTCTTCGATTATTTTGTAAATAATTTTAACTTTATGAATAATAATTTAATGTATATTAAGTATATTAATGTAAATTGTATATTTTATATTAAGAAATTTAACTGCTTAAATTTATTTTTTAATTTAAACTTTTATTTATACTAAAAAATTGTATAGCGCCTTATTCTATTTATCATACAGAATTATGTGTTTTAAAATACAAATTTTAAAATAACTTTTTACACAACAGGTAACAAAACAAATAAATTAACTTAACAAACTTTTCCGTATAGCGATCATTTATTAATTTTGGGCTATAGAGTTTCAAAAAATATATATATAATTGACAACCTGTAACTAGCCAAATCAGGTTCCCCAAGAAACTCTCTCAGCAACATTCCATCAGTCATATATTTGACAATTGTTTTTTCTGAACAGCAATCTTCAAAACGAATGCTGTAACCAACCTCGTTTCCAAGTTTAACTCCCATTTCTTCAGCAACACGTGCTGCAACACTCATGGCAGCCACACGCCTTGGTTGAGTACAACCTATCTTCTTTCCTTCTTTAGTGTACCCAGCTTCAACAAGGTACTGAGGAATTTGGGTAGTTTTACCAGAACCAGTTTCTCCTACAATAAATTTTTTACAAATTTAAAACAACTATTTTTTACAACATTTTCCACCAGCAGCAAAAATAAAACTTCATTTATATACTATCTGCACATTTTTAAACAAATAGATATAATACGCTCTGTATATGTTACTTTAAGTAAAGTTGTTAAATGACATAAACATAACACATACCTAAAATAAGAGGTGAATTGGGGTGCTAAGACAGCTAATGAAAATAAATAAAATATTTTCATAACTTTTATTATTTTTGTGCATTTTATTCATTTAAAAGGATCCCAAACTCCCAACACATGCTGTGTTCATATTAAAGATAATGTTAAAAAAAAACGGTTTGAACCAAATTTTTTTTATTAAAAATAAATAATGAATGCATACCGTGAAAAACAAATGTTGTTGTTTTTGCCGAAGCTAATCTTCTCCATTTTTTTCAACTACTCGGAGTCTTCAAATTATGCGTCGCAATCTACAGACTTTGGCAATTCCTTTGAAGCGCGTTTAATTCATAAAAGTTTTAGTATTTGACATCACGGTAGACTTATAACAAAAGAAACTCTGGAAATATATTTTTTTTTATTTATTTATTTTTATTTATTTTTAGTCGAAGTTTTTTTGGTTATTTGTTTAGTTTTTTTTTTTCTACTTTTAATATTTAAAAAGATATTAAAAACCTTAATTATTTTATGCTGGTTCGTTGCTATAAATTGTTATTGCACTATATATTTAATGTTTATAAATTATGATTATTTATTATCTCAATCAAGACTCTGATAAAAAAATGTTTTACATTAATTACCAGTATAAAATTATTATCTCAATTATAAGACTCTGATAAATAAATGTTTTACATTAATTACCTGTATAAAATTAGTAACAACATTTTTATTTGGTTAGACGATATTTTGTCTCAATTTGCTTGGGGAAGTCAAACGAAAAAAATTAGTTTGAATAATCATGTCGAAATATATTTAAAACAAATTATTTAAATGACGGGGGTACTAAAGTCTTTTTACAACAAAAGTAGGTAAAAAGTAAATAAATAAATAAAAAGTTCAACATTAAACATCTTTTTTTTGTTATATTGCAACTGTAATTATTAAAATATTAACTTTAACTATATTTACTTATTATTTAGAATGATTTAGCAATAAATAAAAAACCCCTAAAATTATGCGATATTGTGTTAATTAATTCTAAAATCAGAAAAGGCCCTAGGAACGTATTTGTATGTAAAATATGTTAGAGTAAAAACAAAATTTACCCAAATTTTGCGCGAGAAAGTCAGACGTCACATCGTCTATTGTTTAGTAAAATTTTCATTAGGTGTTTTCACAAATTATGGCACATAAATTGGGAAATACCAAATGTAATGTTTTTTAACACGCTTTGCGATATTTTAACAATTTAAATTACTATCTGTCTTGAGTTGTTGCCATTAATTAATGTTTTCATTATTGCTTTAATTAATAATAATTTGTCTGTATTTTTGTTAAATGTTAATTGTATAAAACGGGCAAAAATATACGTACTTCATGTTTTCAATTTGATGGTTATAAAGTATTGAACAGTAAACTTATCATTTAAAATTCATAATGCCGGCTTGTGCTGTTATTGCTGTTATTTTTGACGCATTAGCCATAACAACATTAAAACTTTCATATCTGATACTACTGACAACTGTATTGTTTGGTGTGTTCTTGTTCTTTTTTTTCATAACCTTAACAGGTACTAATTGGTATGGAGTTTTTATCCATATCCAATTTAGCAAGTTCAGCAATTTAAATTTAATCAGCGTAATCAAAAAATTTTTATAATAAAAAAATTTAACAGTTTATCAAATATCTCTAATTAAATGAAAGCAATTGCTTGTAATTACTTTTTTTCGATGGAAAAACAAAAAACTTCATAGCGTAAAAATGACCAGAGAAGTTAGAAAATAGTTTTGATTGTTTAATGTAAGATTTAGAATATATAATACTGCGCTCTCTTGCACAAAAACGAGAGACCATATTTATAATGTTCTTTATAATGTAAAATACTCGTAAGAAAATCATAAGATTGGTAAGTAAAGCTTTAATATTTGTTTTAATGTAAAAACAAAAGAAATATAAGTAAGATATATAAATCAAAAAATTATTAAGATATCTATAAAAAACAAGTTGCTCCTATAAAATAAAAATAATTTATCATTTTTTCTTTTTACAAAATTTTTTTTGCGATGTTTAGAAAAATAATACAAATAAATTTGTTTTGCTGTATGTTAAAAAAATACTACAGTAGAAAAATGCAGCTTAGTTTAATTACACTTTTCTTTTATTAAAAGTCTACCGTGACGTCAAATACTAAAACTTTTATGAATTAGAAGCACTTCAAAGGAATTGCCAAAGTCTGTAGATTGCGACGCATAATTTGAAGACTCCGAGTATTGAAAAAAATGGAGAAGACGAGCTTCGGCAAAAACAACAACATTTGTTTTTCACGGTATGCATTCATTAATTATTTTTAATCAAAAAAATTTGGTTCAAACCGTTTTTTTTTAACATTATCTTTAATATGAACACAACATGTGTTGGGAGTTTGGGATCCCTTTAAGCCTGAAAAGTTTTAAAGGCATTAAACCTTTCAGAGTTAAAGGCCACTTTACAGTGTACAATAACTAGCTTTCTGGACCAGTAAAATATGGGTCTTGGTAAGTCTATTCTACACTGACTATTTCTATACTTATTCATTGTTTCAATGTTTTTTAGTAGAAAAACTACACATATTGTATACCTTTTAAAGTTGTGAATAAAAAAAAAATTATAAAACTATTTACTTTCAAAATTTTAAACCAATAGTCATTGTGCGAACAGCTTTTTATCAGCAGTTCATATGTAAGTACCCAAACCAGGTATTCTAAATAATATTTAGAATACCTGGTTGAAATATATTGATTTATTAAAATCGGTGTAAAAAGTTTAAAAAACATGTGGAAACAAATCTAAAAATTTGTGGAATAATGAACTTACCATGACCCGTATAATACGGGTCATGGTAAGTCCGTTCCACACTAACCATTTCTATACTTATTCTTTACATAGTTGTTTTATTTTAATAACTTTGACAGTGTCTGAGGTCTGCAAAAATTGCCGACCTTAGAATTTTTAAACTTAATTTTATTTGCTATTTCAAATAAATTAAATTCTAAATAAAATAATTAAAATAAAAATGGAAAAATAATTTTTTTTTAATTCCTAATAAAATAATAGTATTAAATTAAATAATTGAAATAAGAAAAACTTAAATTTGTTTTTCAAATTTTTTAAGACAAATGTCAATGTTTGAATGAAAAGTTGATGAACTAAGCGTTAGCCTTTCTGTAAAATAAAACATTTTAAATGTTAAACGTTTGCATGTTTGTCAATTTCTCGAACCCTGTTTCAAAATTTTCTAATAATTTGACATTACTTTTTGTAATGTCAAATTATTAGAAAATTTGACATTACAAAAAGTAATTTTGAGAGCTGCATACGCGCAACAAATTTCTCCAGGTGTTTTGATAAAAAATATCAAGAACACAATCATTCAAGTTTTAAATCCATTCATTAGAACTCATTGTAACCAGTGTTATGGTATAGGTCAAATTTAACAGTAATTAAATTAAAAAGATTTTTGATGATTTTTTTTAAAATGATGTTATACTTTTGTATGTTACTTGTTTTATATAAGAATATACCAAATTAATTCAAAGAAAACTAGTGAAAGTTGTAAGAGAAAGTTATAAGCCAAAGTTATGTTTTTTAGGTAAACAATGCTTTTTATACAAAGCAATTTTTTAATAAGATTTTTGATTAAAAAAAAACAAAAAAGGTTCAAAATTATTAGATATAATAACTAATATTTTCTAGAAATTTCCATGATCAATTGTATTCTTTAATTCTACTGTTTAAGACATTTTTTGACTATTTTCAGAATAAAAAGTAATGTTCTTTTTTTTTTTTGAACTTGTTGGTAATTAAATTTATTTTATTATGGTGAAATTTAAAAAATGATTGTAAAGTATTCTGTCAAGGACATTTGAAATGAAACCTTATGTTTTTCAAAAAATTTAAATAAAATAAAATAAAAATTAAAATGATTAAAATAATAATGGTTATAATAATAAAAAGAACATTTATAGTAATAATAACATTTTAACAATAGTAATAATAACAAAGTAGTTATAATAATTTAAATACAACTAATTTCCATACAACAAATGTTTATACATACAAAGTTACAGTTACAACAGTAATCAACTGACAAAGCGTAACAACTAACGACTGTTGATGACATAAAAACAAAAAATTATGTTAAGTAGTTATGGCAAAAAAACAACAACATAAGATTTAAAAAATAATAATAATAATAAATAAAGGAAATAAAAAAAAAAATATTAATATATGGTAGTATAAAACATATATAATAAATGGCTAAAATGAAAATAAAAACAAATAATATATAACTGTATAAAAAATTTATATTAAAAAATAAATAATAACTAAAAAAACAACAATAAATGACTAACAAAATATAATAAGTAAAACTATATACGCTAAAAAACTGAAGAGAAAAAAAAAATCATTCCTACAAAACCGCATAACATACTAACACCCAACCACTTGCATCTTTATAGTCAAGTCCAAGCTATTTTAACTAAAATTTTTCTGTAAAACAGATGTTTAAATAAACAAACATAACAATTCATTATAAATAAATAAATAAATATATATATATATATATATATATATATATATATATATATATATATATATATATATATATATATATATATATAAGGATGATGGTGATAATACTGATAACGATGATAATAAAGATGAAAATTACATTTTTTACAACAAAGATAAGATTAAACTTTTTTTACAACAAACGTAAGATTAAATTAACCTTCTATGATAAGAACTTGATGTGCTTCAATAGCTTCCAAAAGAGATTCTCGAAATTTAAAAATTGGTAAGCTTCTTCTACATTCCATAATACTCTCTTTCTTTTTTTTCACTTCACTAACAATAATGTCCTCTTCACTTAGTTTTGTCCCTGGCATTCGATCAGCCATTATGAAGGCTATCTGATCCTCTTCCACAAGCAAATCATACTGCTTTTCTTTCTCCTAAATAAAAAACGTGTTTATATCAAGTGATTAAACATTCTTCAATAATTGAAACTTGTTTATATAAAATAATTTAGTTTATTAATTTTATGTTTAAGCAACCAAAAACCTATTTGGGATTAAACTACGATTACTCTGGTGTAGTTAAACCATGGTTTCTCTGGTGTAATTAAACCATGGTTTTTCTAGTGTGGTTATTTTTGTAATAAATACTTCATTTTATGTTTAAAAAATATTAAATTTAAATAAACAATTTAAATAAACAAAAATATAAAGCAAGAATAATATAAATAAAGATAATAAAAAAAATAATATATAAAAATAAAAAAATAAAACTTAAAACATATTTTTAACTTAAAGAAACAATGAAAGAAAAAACAAGTATTTTCTGAACACTTTTCAAATAAAAATTTAGATTCTAAAAAAAAATAAATTTGGTTCTTATTTTACATTCAAATTTTCATTCTGGTTTTTATCAATTTTTGTTTCAGAATCGATAGGCTTCAAAAAAAAAGGGCTTTCCAACAAACTATTTTTTACAAAGTTTTATAAACCTAGATTTTTAATTAGAAAAAAAAAACTATTAAAAGCCCAAAAAATTTAGAAAATGTAATTCATTGGTCAAAAAATTTCCAAAATAATTAATTTACATTCAAGAATTCAGTTAGTTGCAATACAATTTGATATTAATGATTTATACACTTTAATTTCAGCAGAAATTTTATATGAAACAATTGATTTTACAAAAAACTACACAGAAATTACAAAGGACACTATTCATTAATTAAAATTGCAGCAAAACTACTGTATTTTAGTCAGGATTGGCTGGTTTAAATCACATTGATTTAAATCAAGATTCAAATTAAATGACTTTTTTTGGATGGCTAATAAATCTGACATGTTCTAACAACATATCAGATTTAAATCATTAGTCATCCAAAAAGACTCTGACTTGTTCTAACAGCATGTGACAATAACCCAGAACATTTTTATTTATTTTTTCTGTCTGTTACTTTTCTGCAGATACATTTAAATTTTTGCGCAGAAACTGATGATGATCCTGAGGTAACATCAAATTGACTGTTGGAAGAAGCAATTTGAAATTAACTACTATTATAAAGTGCATGTTATATCAGCTTCTGTATTGTTTTTATGACAAAAATTATTTAAGTTCACTTTCATTTATGCCATCAAACTCTGCTGTTCTTTTTTGCATATCCTACATCTTGCTTAGTGATGATTAGTATGATTACAGTAAAGCAATGATTATAGACAAACATTTCCCTCTTTTCTATCTTTGCTTCCAACTTCGTTCCAAGGCTTCGTTGAAAAAAACTAGATAAATAAGAGTTTTTGAAGCACTTAGGAACAATAACAGTAAAAAGATGAGACTTAATTGATTGACAAGTAACACGAGAATGAATTTTAGAAGATGGCTCAAGAGACGCTAGCTCTTTAGAGCAGTGCCCATTATAGTATTTGTAGAAAAGAGAAAGAAAAGCAACGTAACGAGGATGTGATAATGGTTGGAGATTGGCTGAGAGCAGGTCCAGCTATGTTTACAAAGCGTTTTCGCACCTTGTCTAAAATAGAAAGGGCATCATTGGAAGAACTGCCCCAGATATGGCAACAGTATTCCATATAAAGACAGATTTGAGATTTATAGAGATAAAGAATAGAATCAGGAGTAAGAAAGTGGCAAGTACAATAAAGAGATGCAACCTTAGCAGATGCTAATTTTAAAAAGGATTTAATATATGGTTTTCAAGAAAGATTGGAAGTAAGTACAATTTTTTTTTTACAATTTAGAAGATCGAAATCATTATCTTGAAAATTGTACAAATTTTTTAATAGAAATACTATTCAACTAAGTTTATAGTTTTACAAAAATTGTAGAAAGAATTATAAAAGACTACAAAATTTCATTAATTAATAATGAGTTTATAAAAGAAAAAAATAATAATAATTATAATTGCAAAATAAAAATCATATGCCTAATTAATGAAAATGCAAAAAAAATGTTAATAATTCATTGTTTTTTAACAAAATAACCCTGATAAACAGTATATTGGCTTAACTAAGGGTGAATAAAAAAAATGTATTGCCAACCACACACAATCTTTTAAACGTAAATTTTTTCTTACAAAAGTACTGTATACTGTGGACCAAAGAAACAGGTTTTATGTCATGTCAATCAAATTATACTTTTTTATTCAAAAGTATTTGTCTTATAACAATAAAAAAGAGCTTTTCTAAAAGGTTTAGATAAGCACTCTGACATTACACTGAAATAGCCTGCTGCCGGGGGCTTCAGTACATACATCGACTGACAATTAGTCTGACTTGCAGCAGAGCGCTGCTACATTAACTGAGGGTTTGGGATGGGGCAGCAATCTTTTCTTACATTATTCTTTGTTTTTCCCATCTTTTTCTGAAAACGCCCTATGCTATAAAGATAAGCAAAACTAGTGAGCAAATGCTCATCTAAACAAGCTATAGAAAATAAATTTATCGGAACATTTTCGATATATATCAGTTTTTCTAACAAATTTTAATATAAGAATAATTAAAGTTAATACATTTGAAAAGATAAACAAAATTTCGTTGAAAAAAAAAGACAAATATTATAGAAAGTCGTTTCAATTAAATTAGATCTTAAATGCTTTAATATTATCAAAACGCTTTTTAATTAAGTAACAAAATACTTCTAATGAATTTTTATATAAGTATTGAAAACTGTTGTTTTTTTTACTTGTATATACAAGTACAGTTAACCTCCGGTTATTGGAACTAGCACTTTTTCAAATTTTACGCTTATTCAAAGAAATTTTAATTCCCCGCAAATTTTCCTTAACAAACCTGTGCAAATACCCATCAATTATTCGAACACGCAGTTATTCAAAATTTTGGTTATTCGAAACACTTTTTTATACCCCTTGATGAAAACCCTGTCAGTTATTCGAAGTTTTTGTTTGTTTGAAGATACCATTCCATTGCATTTCAAAACGTAACGTTACTAAACGTTACCAAAATATTATAAATGAATTAATATTATTAAAATGTAATTAAAAAATCGAAGACATTGCAAAGTAGTGCGGTAGACATTTCAACATGGCATCAAAACAAAAAACAAAAAAAAATTTTAACAACCAAAGAAAAATATCATGCTCTTAACCCTTTAACAGTGTCGTGTTTTTTTTCAAAAATGGTCGCGATTAGTCCAGCTTTTTTTTAAATTCATCGTGTTTTTTAACTAATAGAATAAAAAATGTTTTTTACTATTTTTAACATTAATAAACACTACAAAATGTTATCATTCAAGTTTAAGAATATATAAATCATACTACATAAACATAAAATTTTAAAAATGCATTCACTAATACTTTTTTTGTATGATAATTGTAAAAAGCAAGGAGCTCCTACATCACATTCTACATATTCATATCCTGAACCTTTTTGAATATTGTGTTTGTAACATACCGCACACCATCTTTGAACATTAATCTTTTATTATCATTTTCAATAATCATTTGTGAAATATATCTTTTCATTATTGATTCATCAAATGTACAAAATTCTATCTTTTCGTAAGTAAATGTTTACTTTTTGATAATTATTTTTGCACTGAAAGAACTTCATATTTAAAACTAAATTGAATACATTTAAAAGAATATTATTGAAACAAAAGCTCTGTAACTATCTAGTAATAACTTTTGTGACAAGTAGACGTATAATTACTGATGAACTAAAAAGAAGGAAATAAAAAGAGATGCACAAAACCGTAATATTATGGCATGGACATTTAGAAACCACTTTTAGTTTGCGTAATATTACGGCATGGACTGTTAACGGGTTAAAGATTTAGAAAAAAGACTAACTAAAAAAAATGTTGCAAAAAAGTTCACTGTTCCTCAAAACACTTTAATTTACTGGATTATGCATAAAAAAGACTTAATTTGCAAGTTTGAGTTAGGTTAATTTGGAGCAAAGAGACAAAAGTTAAGTTTGGGAAAGCATGATTCCGTTGATAAAGCTGTATATAAATGGTTTATGAGCGCACATGAACAAAATGTACCGATTGGTAAGCACATCATTAGAAAAAAACCTTTACGTTTTGCAAATAAACTCAACATTGCGGATTTTAAGGCTTCAGAAGGGTGGCTTAATCGGTGGAAAAATAGACATAATGTTGTTTTTCGAACTCTTTCTGGTGAGGAAAGGTAATGTACAGCGGAAAAAACATCAAATTAGGAGCAAACCCATTCGTCCACTATCCTCTCAAGGTATGAATTGAGAGATGTTTACAATGCTGACAAGTTTGGTTTATTTTATCAACAGCCACTGACAAAAACCTTTCATCTAAAAGGTGAATGATGTGCAGGAGGAAAATTAAGCAAAGTTTGTTTAACAGGCTTAGCAGCAGGAAATAAGGTTGGTGAAAAGCTGCCTATGTTTATAATCGGAAAAGCAGAAAAACCACGATGTTTCAAACGTGTCAAAAACCTACCTTGCCAGTACAAGTCCCAAGGACTTTAAAATCTTTACTGATTATGTAAGGAGACTTGACGCAAATTAGCTTATCCTAATGTTGAAAATCTCAAAGCGATTGAATTAGTATTTTTACCACCAAACACAACATCCAAAGCAACCAATGGACCAGGGAGCCATAAGGGTATTGAAGACTTTTTATCGCACAAATGTTGTGAGTCGTCAGATAAAATACATCGATGCTGGTAAAACTACCCCAAATATCAACATTCTTGAAGTTATGAGCATGTTGGTCAAATCATGGGATGCTGTATCGACTAATACTGTAATAAATTGTTTTAGAAAGGCAGGCATCTCAAAGGAAATTTTGATTGCAAGTATAAATGGTGAAAAAGATCCTTTTGAACTGCTTGAAGAAAACGTCAAAGAGCTTATATCACACGGCTTAATAGAGAAAGATTTTGCTGTTAAAGATTACGTAGATTTCAATATTTGTATAGATTTTGAGATTTCGATATTTGTACAAGTGAAGCAATCACTATCACAGATAGAGAAAATCTGGATTCCATTTTAATCAATGATTGTGCTGAGGTAGATGAGGAGGTAGATGAGGAGATAGACGAAGATTCAAACAATTTGCCTCCCGTAAAGCCAAAATTATCAGAGGTTGCACATGCAATAGGGTTAATTGAATGTTGGTCTCTTTTTGAAAATAACCGCATTTAAATCTGACAATTGCTAAACCTAGTATCAAAGATGTTTGATAAACATTCTTTAGAGGCAAAACAGCAATCAAAAATTAATGATTTTTTCAAAAAAATTTAAAGATTTTATTTCTTTATTTTAGATTGTTTTTTTCAGAAGGTAAAGACTTAAACGGCATCTTATTCAAAGTTTTTCTTATTTTTTACTTTCTACAAATGTTAAAATTTAATGGTAACTTGAAATTGGTCACTTTAAAGAAAATTTTCAGTTATTCGAACTTTCAGTTATTCGAAGTAAATTTTTGTTCCCCTTGGAGATTCAAATAACCGGAAGTTTACTGTACGTTTAATTATGTATTTTTTGTTGTTGTTTATGTATAATTATGTTATAGATATAATTATGTATAATGTTATATGTATAATTATGTATTTTTTATGATAAATATTATCTTTAAACATTAAAAAACAAAGTACAAATGTTAAAATAAAGAATGAAATGGTTTTTTAATGCGTAAATTAAATAGACTAAGCATTTTAGTTAGATTTTTTTTTTTGCAGATGGGTTTTTTTAGACTAGATGAGTAAAAAAGTACTGCAGATGGGTTTTTTTAGACTAGCTTCTGGCGTATCTGAGTTTTACGGAACCCAATTATCCAATGGAAATATATGTTATGTTTTCCCAGTTTATTTTATTTTAGGCTAGTGAAGTTGTAGTTTTTTTTTTTAATATTCAGAATTTTTATCATCGTAGATCTTTGTATTTTAAATAAAATAGTTTAAATTCAATACTGCGCATTATTTTAGATAGACTTTATTTAGTTTTATTGAGTTTTTTTTTTTTTGAAAACCTTGTTAGTTTACATTGAACTGCATTACCGGTTTATAAAAGTTATGTAAATTTTTTACTTAAAAAAATATAATATGCTAAGTGTCAATTTTGTGCATAAGCTCCACTTTTAGCGCCATAAAGGTATTTATATGGCGTTCATGTAACTATTTTTACCAATAATAAAAACGGCAAGAAAACAAGTTTGTTATAGTAATCTAGTATAATAATGTCTTTAATATATTAAATATTAAGATAAACATATTATTTTTGATATAAAAAATTTAAACTTCGCTTTTACTTATTTAAAGGCGGTTAAATCAAACGCAATATAATATTTACGGGCTATTATTTAATTTAAAAATTCCACGCGCTGCATGTCATTAAAATTCGATTAATTCAACGAAGAAAATTTTATGAGTTCTACAGGTTATTATTTATCTACTTTTCAAAAAGGCAGACAAGTTTTATAAAGCTAGAACTTTTTAATCTTTTATATATATATATATATATATATATATATATATATATATATATATATATATATATATATATATATATATATATATATATATATATATATATATATATTTATATATATAAAATAAATAATAAGAAAAAAAATACAAATAAAGATATAGTTTAAAAAACGAATAATAAATAAAGAATCGGAAAACTCGAGTAGGACCAGGATGCCACCGAGAAACCACTCAAGCTAAAATAGAATGATTTGGATGATTATAACGTTAATATTAAAATATATATTTTCTTAATGTTTTTTTAAAAATATTTCATCGATGAGATCTCAGCCTCTAAAAAAACACATTTGTAAAATCTTTTATTATCAAATTTTTCAAACTGCTAGCTTTTCTTTGCTTTTCGGTGTCCACGGCATTTGCAGTAATCAATCGAACATACTTTGACTTTTGCAATCGTTTTAAATAAGCAATAATTTTAAATTTAATAATATAAAAATAAAACTGTTAAAGAACAGTCATTAAAACTACAATTAATAACAGCGCTTTTTTTGGGAATGAATGCCTCCATTATCAACATATTTTATAAGTTTGTCTAATAGTTTACATTAAGTTTAAATTTGTCAATTTCAAATCAACGAATTAAATTTTATTTTAAAGAATTAAAAATCTTGCCGGACAAAATGTCAGATGACTTTGTAAATTGATCAAACAATCTGATGTTTTAGCCGGACAATGTCCAATGTCCGACTGTTAAATTAAGTCCTGTATGTATATATATATATATATATATATATATATATATATATATATATATATATATATATATATATATATATATATATATATATATATATATATATATATATATATATATATATATATATATATATTAGGGTGCATCACAAAACAACAATTTAACAATTTTGATTTTGTCTGACACCTTATTGTGTTGCGTAGATTAAAAAAACACTGTATTTCAAATATTTTAGTACTAAAAATATTTTTAGAGGTCCCACAACACCCTTGAATATTTAATGTATCCCTAATATTTTCAAAAAAATAGTTTTTTTAAAGTAGGTCATGTTTGGTTTTAAATGAAGCGAAATTTTATAAAAAATTTTAAAATAATAAGTACTTTATAAAAAAAATGTTTCTTCAGATTTTTCTGCCATATGATATGGCAAATAAGAAAAAAAGTGCAATTTTTTTTGTTATTTTGTCAGAAAAATCAAAAGTAATGTTTTTTTTATAAAATACTTATTATTTTAAAATTTTTTATAAAATTTCGCTTCATTTAAGACCAAACATGACCTACTTTAAAAAAACTATTTTTATGAAAATATTAGGGATACATTAAATATTCAAGGGTGTTGTGGGACCTCTAAAAATATTTTTAGTACCAAAATATTTGAAATACAGTGTTTTTTTAATCTACACAACACAATAAGGTGTCAGACAAAATCAAAATTGTTAAATTGTTGTTTTGTGATGCACCCTAATATATATATATATATATATATATATATATATATATATATATATATACATATCAGAAATAATTTGCTGACCTTAATCTGTTAGAGTTCAATATCAGGTTGGCAAAAAAAAATTGAAACAAAGGTTTTACCATAAAAATTAGAAACAAGGTCAGCAATTATTTGCCAACCTTAAACACTTCTAGGTCGGCAGTTAAGTTGGCATTGCCGAATGCTGACCCTAATTCCAAGGAAGTAAAATTAAAAAAAAATTAATTTAACTTATAGATTGTCTTTCCGAACAAAATCCTCAGTTGATGTATGTGTACTCCTTGTATGTTTTACCTAATAAAGCCAGTTGATGTATGTATACTCCCTGCATGTTGTACCTATTTTAGTCAGTCAATGTATGTACACTTTCATCAATAAAACAAAAATAAAAATAAATATCTAAAAAGAGTATAAAACCATAAAAAAACAAAAACATTAAAAATTTTAGGAAAATTATGTTTTATAACTTGTTATGCTTTATAACTTTATAACTTTTTGTTGAATTTTAAATACTTTTGGTACCTGTTACCTCTCAAAACCACCATGACCTAAAGTACATAGTTGACAGTCATTCCCGCGTTTGAAGTATGCATTGAGAAATTAGCTTTTATAATATAACAGGTCTGGCAGCAACAGGCTCTTAGAATACTAGGTATTACTTTAAAAAAAGTTTTTTTGCAGTGCAATAACATCTAGTTATTTGTATTTTGCATTTAACAAAAACCAATCAATTCATAAAAGCAAAAGAGTGCTGTTTATTTGAGTGTTTATATATAACTTATATTAGCTAATATTTTCACAAACCTGATATTTCTTTTGAGCATCTTTTGAACCAAATTTCATAACAGCATGATCAATTTTTGAATCTTCCCAACGATGCTGCTCACTAACAAATGTTTGAGCAACTTGTTGCTCTTCAACAAATGTATCTGTATATCCATCTTTATCACTAGGTATTACATACCTTTGCAACTTCACTTCAGCTGAAACATTGTCATAATCTTTGGCAAGATTATAAATCTAAAAAATAGCTTATAGTGAATATTTTATATTTATAAAGCATGCAAAATTATGCTAAAGATATCTGTTATTTATGTTGCTGTCTAGACTGTGTATACTGAACACATATAACCTGCAAAAACCAATTAAGATGTAGTTAACTAGTATAAACTGTTACTAACATAAATGGTTACTAACATAAATTGTTACTAACATAAATTATTATCAACTTAAATTGTTACCAATATAAATTTTTACTATCATAAATTATTACCAACATAAATTGCTAAAGTGTTACCAACATAAATTGTTTCTAATATAAATTATTACTAACATATACTGTTGCTATAGTTTTGATAAAAATCATATATTGATTTTTATCAAAACTAACCATGGTATTAAGCATGAATTCTAAACTATTGGAACTTTGATTTTATTACATAAGATTCAAAAAAAAAAAAAACAAGAAATTTATGTAAATACTAATTTTTATCTTAATTCTTATTTTATATTAAATACCTTTTTCTTATATTGTCTCTCAAGCTTTTCCCTTTCAGTTAACTCTGATTCTTCAAACATTTTTTCATCATCTTCTATATCTTCTCTTAGTGCATCAACTTTTTCCACTTTCCTTTTTTTAACATATGCTTTCCTAGCTTGATCTCTCAACTCAGGAATAATTTTTTTTCGATCTTCCTCTTCTAACTGTAATCTTTTTTTTGCCTCTTCAAATGCTTTTTTATCAGATTTTTCAATAAGCTTTCTGGTCTGTTCTTTGTCTTTTTTACGAAGTCTCTCAGCAAATCGATCTCTTTCTTCAATATCTTTAGCTCTGATGTCTTCTTCATTGTCACTTGATTCTGATTCTTTTTTTGCTTCTGATGTAATAGGTTCGTTTTCAGAAGAGCTTGATTCAGAACGATGTTTTCTTAATTTTTTTAATAAAAAATTATATTTCATTAAATATAATTTCCTAATATATTACTAACATTTATTCAAAATAATTTTATTCAATATTATTGTGTTAAAATAAATCTTATTCAAATAATAAAATATATATACAAAAAATCAAATAATAAAATATCTATTATAAACAAATGTTATGCAAACATTAGCGATATATGCTCATTTACTAAAATAACACATACCTTACATTCTTCTTATTTTTATTAGTTTTTTTTTTTGGCAATGATATATTTTCTTCTTCGCTTTCTGATAGCATAGTGTAGGTAGCATTTTTCTTTTGCTGCTCTAATGCTAACTTTTCTTTTATTCGATTGGAACTCTCATTCTTACTAACTCTAGGAATTTTATTCCAGAGCTCTTTAGCTACTGATGTGAATGCATTTTTCTCATCCCCAATGACATCTTGTATTTTTTCAATATATCTCTCAGCAGAAGCTGTTTTTTTAGCTAACCCAATTAAAAAAGTAACAACATGTTTATCAGACATGTCCAATGTTTCATATAATTTCTCTGAAACCCATCTCTCTAGATAAACATCATCAGACATTTTGAGTGTTAGTTTTACTAGTATAAATCAAACAAATTCAAAGTATTAATATATGAAAATTAACAAATAAAGAATTAAATATAAGACTTACAATAATCTAAGGCAATAAATAATTGACAAAAACCAGGTAATTTTTGAACAAATTCTCAATAATAATAGAACAGAAAAAATATATATGCATCATTTTTTAAAAAGTAGATTGCCCATTTACACACTAACACACACACACACACCCACACACACACACACACACACACACACAAACACACACACACACACTTATACACACAAATATATACAAACTTTTCTTTGTCATTAAAATATATACAAACTTTTTCAAAATATATACAAACTATATATATACAAATATATACAAACTTTTCTTTGTCATTAACAAATGCAATTTGTTATCTGTGGTATATCAAAGTATCAATGAATGACACTTACATATATCACAGGTAATAAAAGTCTGCTTAAATGATTTCTTATTCTATTTATTCTTATGTACTATTTATACTTTTATTTATGGCATAATAAATATTATATCAAGAAAGATATGTGAATCAAAATTGAACCATGGCTGTGAATTTAATGAACTGAAATGATTTTTCAATTAAAATAAATTTGATTAATACAATTCAAATTAAAACATATTAATTTTTATTAAATGTAAAACATATTAATATTTTTTTATTTTATTTAAGATAGTACAGATTTATTTCAAAATTCTCACTCCCCTTAAAGTAGTTACCACCCCCTCAGATCCAAATCCACCAATTTTGGGTGATAAGTGAGAGTAAAACAATGATTTTCAGTTCATAAAACAAAATCAAAAAACATTACAGAGTGGATAATAAGCTGGGAGGTTGTAATTCAATGGTCACATTTTTTTTTTTTAACAATTTTTTTATAACGATTATAATTCTATATAATCAAAGTTATTTTGCATTTCGAACAAGTTTATCTTTGCTATGAAGTTATGAAATAATAAATCCTATTTATCTGTAATAATATCAAATAAATGTAACTGTAAAATGTAATACAAACTTTATGTATCAACAAATATAATTGAATAATTATAATAGTTGATATATAAATTTACCACCATAATTAGGTTTTATTTTACCCTATAGAGTAATGTAAAACAAGTCAACTATTAAAATAATTAAAAAAAAAAAATAAGTTAATGAAAGGCATGAACATAAGCAATAAATTATAATACTGTAAAAGCAAACAATAAAATACAATTCAGTAAAAACAATTACATTCAAAGACATTTTTAAAATCTTAATTAACCACAAAAATAAAATAATATTGCTGTGAATGCTCTTGGTATACAAAATCATTCTTGTTGATAATTTTGAATTTTGAATTATTTATTTTATTTTCTCATCAACATCAAGCTAATATACACTAGACAAACTTCTTAAAATTATTTAATACAAATATACACTGGACAAACTTCATTAAATTATTTAAGAAACAGCATAAAAGAATTTTAGGAAAAAATTTTTTTTAAATTTCCAGAATGTTCTGTTAATTCAATCTTAATGTGATTTTTGCTATTTTTAATATTTTCTGTAATTTTAAGAGTTTTTTGGCTTTTTGGGGAGTCAATCTGGTCAACCTTTGACTTAGTTATGCAGGTGTTTTCAGACATAAGTAGTATATTAAAATCAGATACCGAGTTTTCTTTGCTTTGATATTCAACTTTCTTAATAAATTGATTACTAACTTCTTTTTGCTCTTTTTTTTCTGTTTTACTATTGGTGCAACACAAAGAGGGCTGAAGCTGAGCTTTTGAACCTTCTGAGTCATAAAAGTAATCTCTTATGGATTCGCATTGTTTCCTCTTAGATACATTACAATCAGATAATATGACTTTTCTTTTTCGAAGTTTCATTGGTGATTTTGGTTTAAAAAGCGCAAGCAGTTGTTCTTGATGTGCACTTGGTGACTTTAATCTAATACCTTTAAATATTAATTTAAAAAAATCAATGGAAAAAAAAAAAAAAAAAAGAAATCATGGTCAAGATTTTAATGTTTTTTAATTTACCTGAGTCATACATTTCTTTTTGCTGAAGTTTTTCAGCAGTAGCTCTATCTAATTCTTCTTGTCTCAGTCTTTCTTCGTATTCCTCTTTTTGTAGCTTTTCAATATACTGAATGTTTGCTTGTAAAATATTTTCTTTTTCTTCTTGAAGCTAAAACAAAAATAAATATAAGATGCAAATTAAAAATTATCAGAATAATATTAGTAATACCGAAATACGCTTTAAATAATATTTGCTCTTATATTAAAAAGATATATTAAAACAAAAACCACAGTTATCTACAAGAAAAAAATAAGTAAAAAGAATTTGATAGCAGTGTTGTATAAACATCCACTTTGTAGAAATTAATGTAGATAGTAGATTAAAAACTTCATTTTATAAATGATAAGTATGTAAGTAGTAAATGCTTTGCTTCATAAAGGAGAAGTTCCCACCACATCCCTAGTACTGTGCTCAAGTTGTTTCCTTGTCAGGACTTGTATTTGAAGGATTGTAAGAGGGTTGTAACAGCGATTGTTGTAATAACAATAACACTTGGTTAAAAAAAAAATTTGACTGCAACTTTGGAAAAGTGAATACAGTAAAAAAAAAATTTTTTAAAAGTTTCAAAAAATAATCTTAAAAAAAATTTCAAGCTTTTTGCAAATTAAAAAACAAACTAACAAAAAAACAGATATTTAATAAATAATAGAAAGTTTTTTTTTCTTTACCATTTTTAAGAAGGAGGTAAAGGATGTTTGGGAATTGCACCACCTTAATTTAAATTTTTATTATAATAATATTACAATAAAAATGTTTTAAATTTCAAGAAGATTGAAGATAAATCCAAGCCCCTGCATTCCAAAGGACAGCGAGAACAAAGAATTTTTTTTTTTAATTTTAAAATATATTTATTAAAAATGAAAGTAAAATTAAATAAACATAAATCAGGGTTCCCACTATTAAAACTGAGGCTAAAAAGTAAGAATTTTAAGGAGATTTAAGGAGATATTTTCCTTATATTTAAGGAGATTTGGCCGCGAATGACAATTTTTTGAAAGAAAAAGTAAGGAGAATTAAGGAGAAAACAATTACATTAAAAACTAAACTTTTAAATATAAGCAAAAAAATTATGATAAATTGATAGAATATTTGATGTATGTATAAATATAAATATATATATATGTATATATATATATATATATATATATATATATATATATATATATATATATATATATATATATATATATATATATATACAGGGACGCACAGAGACTTTATGATGCCCGGGGTATTTAATAAAAAAATTAATTATAATTAATAAAAAAAAACATTTCTGGATTTGGTATAAATATTTTCTGACTTTTACTAAGACTTCATGAATTTTTCTAGCAGCAAAACTGGAATTTACAACATCGTAATTAACTTTCTTTGCAAGATCTGTTTCGATTAAAGGATAAGACAGTTGCCAAGATAATTCTGTCCCATGATAGTTCCTAGAGTGTTCTTGACGAGAGTTAACTTGATAAAAAATCTCTCGCCTTTAGCCACAGGTACTAGCAAAGTAAGAAAGATACGAAGACAGATATCTGGGGGAAAATTTATTTCAAATTTCTTAGCATAAATGCTATTCAGAAGACATAAGGGCCGATCATTTGTCAGTAGATGGCGTTAAACAGACGAAAAATGGTGGAACTATATATATATATAAAATAGAAGTATACAGGCCTTGCGATAAAGCGTCGGGCGATGTGAATTTTACGTCGTCCAAGAGCGATTTTGCGTGTAGCTAGGGCCATTTGCGTTGAGCAAAAAATTTTTTGTTTGAGTATATTTAAAGATATTTTTGAGCGGAATTTTAATGAAGTAATTTACGATTATTTTAACATTTAATAAATTATTTTAAAAACCGCACGCAGTTGAAATAAAAGTTTGAATTAAAAAAAAATAAATATGCTCATTATTTACAAGTAGAAAAAATTCAAAAATTAAAAAAAAAGTTTAAATCTTTTAAGCTAACATTTTAATAAAATTATTTAGCAATAGCAACGTTGTCGATAAAATTGAACAAAAATACTTTCTTTTAGTTTTAGATTTTAAACTTAAATAATTATTTTACGGGGGTTTGATAGGTTTTAAAATTATTCCATAGATTTAAAAATATTTATTAACTGTTAGACGTATTTAAAGTATTTAAGAGTAATTTCGAGGAAACATTTTAAAAATTGGTGAGGGCAAATAAAAAAAAAAAAAGGATTAATATTAAAATGTATTCTACTTGATTCAATAAAAAAGTACAGTTTTTTGTTAAAAGTTACCGAAACTCAACGAAGCATGCTCAAGAACAATAGAACGTCAATAGTTTTTCGAATAATTTTTAAGAATAATTTTTAAGAATAATAAAATAAAATAAAAAATATTCTAAAAAAGTGAAATTAATTACATCAAAATTTCTTAACAAATGTTTTTATATGAGCGAAACAATTTTAAATAAAGTAACAATTTACTGTTTATTAAGTTTTGTTTTTTTAATATAATTGACAGTTGTATATAATTTTTTAATTTAAAACATAAATTGTTTAAGTGTTTATTTCTAAAATAAATCTTATTAAAAAATAAAAAATTGTTTTGTTTTTATAAACGATGACATTCTACAACTATGAAAGTCTCCTTAACGAATTTAAATATAAGAATGATTAAAGTTAATGCATTTAAAAAGATAAACAAAACTTCGTTAAAAAAAAAAGTTTTAGAAAACCGTTACAATTTAATAAGTTTGATCTTAAATGCTTTTATATTATCGAAACGCTTTTAATGAAGAAAAAAAAAACACTAATTAATTTAAAAAAAATATTTATAAAATGTTTTTTTATTTTATTTATATAACTATGTATTTTTTATGAGAAATATTTAACTTTTGAATATATTAAACAAATAAAAAATATATAAAAATGTTGAAACAAAGATTGAAAAGGTTTTTTAATGCATAAATTAAATAGACTAAGCATTTTAGTTTAATGAGTTTTGTTTTAGTTGCGTTATATATATATTTATTTTTTTGTGTTTTTGCTTTAACTTAGTATTTATTTAAATTTCTCTTTCGTTAATATTTATTATTAAAAAAAATTTTTTTTTAGTTAAGTTTAGGTAAGTTTTTGTAGCGCGTTTTTAAATTTTAAAAATATGCCATGGTCAAATTGTTAAAACATCTTTTTTTTTTCGTGATCATATAAAGACATGAAATCGCACGTCTTCCTGTGAAAACCTGACTTTTTTTCAAATTTTTTTAAGGTTGCTAAAGGACTTTTAAGGAGTTTTTTTTTTTTAAGGATATTTAACCCTGTAAATTGAAAAAAAAATTAACTTACATTAAAAAAAAAAATCAATAAAAAAGTTCCACTAGTATAGAACTTTTATATAAAGTAGTTGATATAATATAAGTTAAAATAAAATATATAAATAGTAAAAATTAAATAAAAAGTTGGTTTATAAAGTATTATTTATTTAAATTTCATTTTAAATTAATTTTTTTTTTTTTTTTTTTTTAATGTTTTCCAAGTACATAAGAGTTTATTTTAATTGCATGCTGGTGATTAAACAATAAACAAATTTTTGTACTTTAAAATAATTTTTTAAAATAATTTTACTTACCAAAAGATTTTTTATTTTGAAAAAACAAACAAAAAAACTATTTTTATTACTTTTAAATTTAGGCTTGGATACACAGAAACACTTGGATAAGCAGAAAGTTTGCTAAGCAGAGAAAAAAAATAGCTCAATATTTTTTAGCCAATAGCTAGCTAAAAGCTTATATTTGATAATTTTAAGTTATTTACTTTAAAAATGTTTTATTGGAAAAAAAGACATTTTAAAAGTAAATAAAAGCTTTTTTTTTTGTCTGTTTCAGATACATAAATATTTTTGGATTTTGAACAAAACAGCAATAATTTTCCCATAATTATTGGGACAATAATTGTTTTACAAAGATAAAAATAAATAACATAGCTAAGTAAAAACAGCAAATGTGCAAAAGTGTTTAAAAACATCAATAAAACTTATTTTCTGTTAACTACTATCACAACAATATTTATATTTTTAACCATATGAGATTATTCAAAAACTTAGGCATATTAATAGTCACAAACGAAGAGTGAATGGCTAAGAGAAAATGAAGTATATTTAGATAAAGGAGAACTATTTCTCACACAAAGCCTATTTTAAAAATTGACAAGACAAAATAAAAATTAATAAATTATTATTTAAAAATATACTAATATGATGACAAAAATAAGACTGACAATCGCACCCAAACAATACTTACAATAATAAAAAATTTCTTATAAATACTTAAAATGAACAAAGATAAACAAAAATACACCATCAAACAAAAATTTACAAAATAAAATTTTTTTAACCATACAAGATTCCTTTTTGCTACAAATCTTTCTTGAAAAATGTAAGCTTCCATCCATAGCAAAATTCTGTTAAAACTCTCCACCACACTTGTCATCATCTTACTAAAACTCTCCATCATAACTGTTTACAACTTTTTTCTTAAACAGAATATTGCTGCTTCATCTGGGTGAAAAATCAAATGAAAAAAACTAATGAAAAATAAGTAAAAACTAACCTTCTTGACTTCAGCTTCGTATTCTTTTTGAAGTTCTCCTTTTGAACTTATAATATGAACAGGCGCTAAAAATATATTTAATACAAACAAATATAAACAGGCGCTAAAAATATATTTAATACAAATAAATATGAACAGGTGCTAAAAATATATTTAATAAAACTTAATATGAGCAGGTGCTAAAATTATATTTAATACAATAAATCATCCCATAACTACTTAGAAAATGATGGGGTAATAAGTAACTAGCAGATGCTCAAGCCAATTAACTGGATAACAATGTGAGTTAGATTTGACTAGGAAGCCAATTATTGTTATATAAATAAAATAAAATGTTCTAACTCTGGGTCCAGTGTTCTGTCCAAAACTGTCAAAATCTTTTATGCTTATATAATGTTTATATGCTTCAAAATTTCATAATTTTTTTTATACATTAATTTATAATTAAACAATATAATTTTTTATACTGAACATGGAGTTTTTTCAACAAATTTCAATAATAAATATATTTATATGTACTCAATAAGTATGTACTATTTAGTATATACATACTAACTACAGCGCAACATTTTTTGTGGATGTATTGCTGCAGCTACACAAGCTAGATTGCTAGCAATGAAATTATAATTTATCTGTTGCATGTAATCTTAATTATGACTTTAGCTCTATTCTATGGCTATCTTCATTAGCTAACCTTTTTATCTGGTATGAAAGTTAAAGAAAACAGAAAAACTACACTAACAAAAGTATATATTTCAAAATATAAATTTTTTTCACTCATAACATAATACAACTAATAATAAATTTACAATAGCAAATAAGACATTTTAAAATAATTTGTGTTTCTTTCTCTGAATCTGAAGATTCAGGATACCAATATCATAATAGCTAAATCTCCTAAGTTCTATCAAAAAAATATGCATGCGCTCTTTTTGAATTAAATTTGAAATTTTTAACTCTTTTTTTTGTAGATTCTGCTTGAATATCAGTTTTAATATGAGTTAGCTGACTAATCATAAAGTACAACTTCTCGTTTGCTCTTTCAGAATAAAATTTACTTTAAATTTTTTTTTATCTAGGATCAAGTAATGTAGCTACTAATGAGCAGTAAATGACTTAAAAAATCATTACTAGGGGAAGTTTAAATGTTCATTTCCAAAGATGTTTTAGAAATTTTAAAAACTAGTTATTTGCAACTGTTTTATATGATCTTAAGACATCATAATAAAATAACAATTCTTCTTTTTTAACTTGGTCAGGATTATCAACTTTAACTGTTTGGTGTAAACTTGTTTGTTTAAAACATAAGCTGGTGTCTATTTTTTTTTTTACTTCTTTGGTCTTTAAAGTTTTTGACTCAAAAAAAGACAGGAGACTGATTATCTTTGTGTTTTAAATGCAAACAAGTCCATAATGACTACTGTGAAATTTATTTAGAATGAGCACCAGTTCTCCTCTTAATTTCAATAGTGCATATGATATATTCAGCAACCTCTATTTGTCTATGGGCAACAGTGAAATAATTCAAGACTGCTGAAGCATCTCTTTTGGCCATTGTTTACAACAACATAATATGTAATATTGAATATAAATAGATAATAATCATTACAATTGATAAGTTTTTTATAACACAATATAAAAACAATGTATTTTGCTAATTTAAAAAAAAATCTTTAAAAAACTTATGAATAAATAAGATATAAAAATCAATCAAATACATATACAAATTTGAATAAATAAATAACGATATTCATAACATATACTTCTAAAATGTCATTTCCACATTTGGAAAAAAAAATCACCAAACATTCATTCAAATTGAAAAATTATATATTCGAGGAGCCCATTTGCAAAACGCGCTAAGTCCGAGTAAATTGATTTCGAAAACATGCCCACGCCTACTTAACGCTAAAAAAAAATTGTGTTTGTTAAATTTACACTATTAAGTAGACACAATTAAATAACGTGCACAAAAAAATGCAACTCTTTAGGATCTTGAATTAAAACTTGTTGAAAAAACGGACTTAGCTTAATTTGAATATTTTAGATGTACTTAGATTATTTTGAAAATGTTTGGTTGAATTCATATGGATCGTTCGCTTATTAAAATAATTAAAATGTTTTGAAGGATTTAATTTGTACGAATTATAAACTTTTTTATAATTATATTATAAAAAAGGTATCGGAAAAGGAAATTTAAAACATAGGGAATGCAGAAATGACTATTATAAAAAACCCAATTTTTTATTAGGAAATTGATTTCTAACACAACAAAATTTAAAAAGGATAAATACATCAAAAAGTTAAATATGTCTGCCTACAGCATCTTCATCAATACAGCTGCATGTAGTATCTTCCTTGTCTGCTGTGCGTTTTTCTGTTAAGGAATCATTAACAATACTTTTTAAAAAATCAAAATAAAAATCCTGCTCCCAATTCACTCTTGCATGCACAAGAACCAAACTTTTGATACCTTTCTTTTTAACCTCTGCAACTGGGACTCCTTTCTGGATCTGAGACGGACAAGATAAACAATTATGGCCTCTTTTTGTTATATTTTAAGGACTGTTAAGAAAAGATTCAAAATTTGGTTCTCTTTGGACTTTAATATTTTTAGACAATCTTCTTGTGATAAAAAAGCGTTTATTTTCCTGAATTTTAATTTGCAATGGTTTTTTAAAAACTCCTAAAGGTACTGATTTGAAATCCAACACATTACTGCAATTTTCACTGCTCCCTGGGTACTGTAAACATTATAGTACTCTTCTGGAGAATATTCTTTCAATTTTTTTTTCAACTTTTTTTCTAAAGTTCCAAATACACGGTCACAAGACAAAAATGTATGTCGTCAAAAAGGAAACAAAAGTTCATTTATTTTAACTAATATCAGTGCATGTCTTATCAGCCAGAAGTCTGCCATATAAATTAAAGCAATATTTTTATTTTGACCACCACATGCATCAGAAAATAAACGAACAGTGTCTATGCCATCCATGTTTGTATTGCAGAGCTTGTCAAATACTGCACTGGAACAGGAAGAACTATATTTTTTGAAATCGCTCTCATTCCAAGTATAGATAGTGACATCTTGATTTCGTTTTCTACAACACAAAAGTTGCATATGTATAGTTGTCTACTATAATAAGCTTGCTGATCTGGAACTTTAGGGATGACTTGGTTTAGTTGATGGTCAAAGCAAATAATTTTTAAACCATCTCTTTTTTCCTTCAAAAGATTATAGAATGAATTTGCTCTACGCTTATGAACAATTAAACCAGTAATTAAACTGTTTTTCTTTTCTGAGTCATTTTCAATTTTTATTTGGTTTCGAATTGTTTCACAAAATGAACATGCATCTGATTTAGGATAACCAAACCCTAAATTAAAGTTGAGCATAAATGTTTTTCTGAAAAATTCATGTCACTGGTAGATTGGGTTCCCTTTCTGCAAACAATTTCCATACTGTTTTAATACTTTTAAGCGCTGATTGTAGATAAAGTTTTTTAGATTTTTTTCTGCTATAATGACTTTCTCTTCCAGGAAGACTCTTTATAAATTCTATCACAGCCTTTCGCTTATCCTTGAATTTAGACCTCATTTTTTTAGTATAAAATTGCTCTCTTTTTCTAGATAATTGTTTTTTCTGAACAGACAAAAACTTTAATGTAAATTTGTCTTGGTCACACTTTTTTATAGTATTATAAAAATGAGCATTAAAAAGGTAAAGGTCAATATCTTTTATTTTAGAGCATTTGTATATTGTTTTGCGTTCATGTTGGCAATAGTGTTTTGATGGTGGTTTCAGTCCATGCCTAAATAAAAAAATGTCAAATAATATATATATATATATATATATATATATATATATATATATATATATATATACATGTATATATATATATTATATATATATATATATATATATATATATATATATATATATATATATATATATATATATATATATATATATATATATATGAGTTTATATATGAATATATATATGAATATTTACATGTATGTATATATATCAGGGCTCGAATTAATGTAAAAAAATCTAATTGCGATTTTTTGTTGCTCATAACTCCTTCCCCCTCCCCTGTATTTTTGTAAAATCAATGAACTTGATATTCCTAACCTTCTTTTAATTTCTTTTAATTATTTCATCTTCTATTTTATTTACATATTTTAAACTGTTTAAAACAACTAGAATTTTTAACAGTAAAAAAAAATTATTAAAAACTCTAACTTTGAAACAGTTATAAAAAACTATTAAAAATAACGAAAACATTATTGTGATAAAATGTTAAAACTTAACATTTTGACGAAAACCTGCACAACAAACAAGAATGATAATTAAATTCTTATTAAGTCAGTTTTCTTATCTAAGTAACCTTATCAAATTCCGATGATATTTTTATCTATTGCTTTTTCATTCAACGCATTTTTTAATAAAAGTTAGCGTTCACTTTTTTCATTCAATAAAATAAAGCGAAAGAAAAAAATGTGTCTAAATAATAAAATCTTTTACGATCTAATACTTTTTTTGATTGTTAATAGAAAAAGTATTAGAACGTAATCGTAAATTTTTTTATCGTTTTGTAATAATTTCACTAGTTTAATGCTTAGAATTTTTCAGGATTTTTACTAACATAAAAGTATTTTTACGAAGCTAAAAATCATACGCTATTTAAAGTTGTTATTTGATATTTTAATTTTAAGGGGTTACAATGTGCTAAAATAAAATTAAAAGTTGTCACAATATTTATCCTCGCTCTCACTTTTTTCCAAATCTGATATTGTAACTGTCGCTAGATCAATGTCTGTTTTTCCTGACTTTCTTTTTCTTTTTTCCGGATAACGATGAAAATTTGCTGACAATCGTCTAACTTTATCATTATATCATTCGCCCATAGCAGTATCAGGTTCAAATTTGTCAATCTCAGGACCTTCTTCGCTTATCCGAAGTAGAGATTCTAAACGATCTCGTCTAAGACAACTTCTCCAGTCATTTTTTAGGCGATCCATACATGAAAACATTCGTTCTACCTTCGCATTTGTAAAA